CACTAAATTCGTAATGTGTGAGACAATAGAAATGCAGTCATTTGCCTTTATACACTTTGTGATCAATTTAGTCAGTCAAAATCAGTTTGGTAATTAAGAGTTTCCCCATTCGTATTTTTGTTTGCGTGTTTCTTGTTTTTTTTGTTTTCGTGTATGTCAGGTTAGGAATCAGTGATGCTGCGCTATCGAACTTGACGGTGAAGGCTTATCTGGATATGGGTTTTTAAAGAAGATGCTGTCGACCTCTCTTCTCAGTTTCATACAAGGTATGTGTTATGGCGAGAATTGGGTACTTTCTTTACTCGTCTCATTATGCTTGAGAATGAATTTTCATGCTCTTCACTACAACAACAGATAGGATTTTCAGAGAAGATTGTAAAACAGTTCAAGTCTATGAAGCTCGGACCAAGCAAATCGTGGCTGCTGCCCTTCATGGATTCAACGGTAACAAAATTACTCTGTGATGATATTTACTTAGGGTTTTCATACGTGTTTACAATTGTGCTGAGTTTTTTGTTTCGTTTGTGTATCTGCTACGTCCTTTTGAAGGAACTGTGTTTGCTTATGGGCAAACTAATAGTGGCAAGACACATACAATGCGAGGCTCACCGACTGAACCAGGCAGGAGTCATCCAACCCCTCTTGCTGTTCATGATTTGTTTGACACTATATATCATCAGGTAGGTTAACTTTTATTACCATTTGTGTGTATCTCTATGTTTTCTTTAAAATTTTGTGAAAAAGTGTTTTTAATTAGAGATTTTTCCTTTTAATTTCTTACAAGGATGCAAGCAGGGAGTTTCTTGTGCGTATGTCGTACCTTGAAATTTATACTCGAAGAGATAAACGATCTCTTGGCTCCTGAACACCGCAAAAAAACTCCAGATTCCTTGAGAATTAGAGGTATGCCTTGTTAGAATAGAATCCCCCTTTCTTCTATCTAGCCTGAGTCTGATGCGTTTTCTAATCTTGTAGAAAGGAATATTTGTGGCTGGTCTACGAGAAGAAATTGTTGCTTCCCCTCAACAAGTCCTTGAATTGATGGAATTTGGAGAATGTAATTTTCTCTTCTCTTCACATTATTCTACAATGTTCTTACCAAACAAAGTGTTTTTTTTTGTGTGTTTCATAACCTCTGCACATACGTTTTTTCTGTCTAAGTCTTGGTTTTTGATAACACTGATTTAGTGAATGGTGGTTATTCATTTCAGCTCATCGGCATATTGGAGAGACAAATATATGAATGTTCACAGTAGCAGATCTCACACTATTTTCTTGCATATATGAGTGCTCGATTATGTGTAAGTTGAATTTAGACGGGCAAAGCTTTTTCATCAAAACAGATTATAGAAAGTAGTCCGAAGACGCAAGATGAAGGTGTTGGAAATGCCTGTGTCGTGTTTCTGTACTGATAAACTATCTGTGTTTCCTTCTCCTGATATACACAATATCGCCACCAAAACTAAAACTAGTTGTATGATAGTATTCTCCTAATCCTCCTCCTGGGAAACCACCATTCTTCACTGTCATCTCGCCAGCCAATGATGAAGGAAGATGAGAGAGCCTCCAACCTCTGCACTATATCAATTATTAACAACCCTAAATTAAAACACTCTCACGATTATGCAAAACAAACACTAACCAACAAAAACACAGGTAGAGAGAGAGAACAAAAACCGCAGAGCTTCTATCTCTCTCTCCCTCCCTCAAGTGTCCAACTCCACCCTTAGGTTTTCGAACCAAGAGGTTCCGTTACGTTTGCAATTCTGGGCTTATAACGTAAAAAGTAAAGATTTTTATTGGGCCTTTAATGGGTCTTAAGATAGCCTAAACCACAATAAAACAAAACGGCATTTACCCTCCGAAAAGCTTCCATTGATCCGAGGAGCATGTTCAGGTACGTTATTATTGTGTTTATTGTTTACGCCTTTTTAAACCTATTCTAAAAATGAACCCTCCACAGGCGACGTGCAAGATTGTTTGTTACAACCAGTGAGGTTGTAAAACAAAGCATCAGAAGAGAAAATTTGATATTCCAATTTGATATCTCAATAGGGATGGAATTTATTAACTTGGATGCAATAATAATATATATTACAAACTAGCATTCATCTATACTAGCATTCCTTACCAAAGGCTTGTAAGAACTCTCTGAAATCAAGGTGTTATCTCTCTCTATTAATACAGCAGCCTCCTCGTCGTCGTCTTCTTCCACCAATCGGGAAACCCTCTCTGCAATCTCAGCCGCGCTCGGCCTTAACTCTGCTTCTTCTTCAGTACAGTCAGTTGCAATTCTTGCCATTTCATAGGCTGAATCAACTGAATAGCTCTCCCCCAACGTGCTATCCATCTCTTCCCTCAGCGTTTCCTTCTCCCCGAATACCCCTCTCACTCTCTTCCACTCCCCTACCCTATTTTCTTCTTCTCGGGCTCCAAGCAACATCTCTGGGGTTTGTCCTGACAAAACCTCCATTACCATGATCCCGTAAGCGAACACGTCAGTAGCTGGAGAACCCTGTACTGGTGCATCCTTTGACATGCCAAACTTTCCCACTTTACCTCTAAGATCTCCATTCAAGAAGACGTTTCTGCTCGTGATGTTGCCGTGTACATAGTTAATCCGATGCATAAACTTTAAGGCGATGGCCACATCGTGACAGATCTTGATCCTCTGTTTCCATGCCAAGAAACAGTAACAAGACTCGATGAACTGATTCTTGATGGCCAATTTGTTCTGCAGCCAATCCCACAGTGACCCATTCTTTGCATACTCGAAAACCAGATAACAACCACCCTCTTCTCTGAAACATGTCCCGTGTACCCTCATCAGATTGTGATTGTAGTAGTGTGATTGATCGTTCAGAAGCCCAAAATCGAATCTTTTCATTACACTTGCGCTCACTTGCTTGATTGCCAAGTCTTTGCCTTTGAGACAACCGAAATAAACCGAACCTTTGATGTGATTGCTTGAGCTGAAATTATCAGTGGCTCTCTCAAGCTCCTCAAACTCGTATATCTCCAGCAGGGGCTTTCGGGGTGTTGTGGTGCCAACAACAGATTCCAATATGGACCCCTCCTGTGACCCTTCAAAGGAGATTTTCTTGTCACTGGTGGTTCTGATGCTCAGGCTCAGCTGCCTCGTCTCTGGATCTTTATTGCTAATCCAGCTTTCCAGACGCGTCTCTTTCTTCCAGTGCAAGTAACCCAACACCATGAGAGTTATAAGACCCATAACTCCAGCAATCGCGCCGCTCACAGCCATCATCAGCTTCTTCATCTTTGACCGTTTTTTCTTCTGGCGACTCGTCGTGGTGGTGGTGTTCTGCGGTTTATGATCAAGAGGTGGGGTGCGTGGAAGTGGAAGTGGAACCACACCAGTGTTGTTGCTGCTGTTTGCAGAGACAATAGCATCCTCTCTTGTCTTGATCTTGTCTGCCAAGCTTGAAACGCTTTCGCCCTCACTCGCTGGATATGTAACGAGAAACCTCCTGGCCTTTGAAACGCCTTCTTCTTTTGGACAACAACACTTGACCGCCAACCGCAACTTAACGTGAAGTGACGAGGATGATGATTCATCTGGGTCGCTGCTAAGCAGATCATATGAAGTTGCAGAGAGAAACCATGTGAAGAAGAAGAAGAAGACTAGAAGACTTGACATGCACTCTTTCCTAACTGAACCAGCCATGTTGACGTTTAGAATAGCTGCGGCATTACAGTTTAGGCGTGCCTCCTGTATATATTGGCGAATAGAGAGTGGGACAACTTTTGCTTCTTTTTTTTTTAATTGATTGATTTCTTGCAAGGAAATATTTTGATGAATTATTTTATACACATGACCTCCACTAAGTAAATTACAAAGGTTAAAGTACCCGTAAAAGCATACTATTGGTTTTTGATATTTTATTGGAAAGCAGAAACGAGTATCGGAACCTCTGAGTTTTGTGACTTTTGTCGACAGCAGGGGTGGCTATGAATCCCAATGTTAATCTAATTAATTAATTAGAAAGGACATCTTCTTGTGCTTGGAACCATATTCTTCGTAAACTCAACAACATTCACAAAGTGTGCAAAGTCCAAGCTAAGTGAATCTCAATGCTACAGTCTCGCTTTGTCCTAAGAAGATTTATATATATTGTGTTTACATATGCGATTCTTTAAGAACAAATTTTAGGCCGTGTTCGGTCCCACTGTTTTCGATTTTGCTGGGGTTTCATCATCTTTGAGTCATGGTCCATGTTTCGTTTAACTTTATGACACACAAAAAAAGAGTTTTGGGTCAGTAGCATGTGCACTAGTTTATAGAGTTCGGATATCTTAGATTTTGAGAATTGATTCATACCGAAACTTTATCATCTACTGTATGTAGTAAGCTTGCAAAGTAATTACAACAGGTGCAAACACGTACATATATCCATTTTGTGTTAATCTAGTAACACTTCCTTTATTGGCTGAGAGACCTGATAAGCTCACACCAAGCACACACTTGCCCATTTTAGTCTACACTAGTTTGGACTTTTGGCGTAGCGACAATAGACTTTAGTATTTTGTCTGCGCCAATATCATTTGGTTATTGAGAAAAATGGCAACTCATACCATAATACTGTTAATCAAACAAAAGCTAGACTAAAATTTTAAGATCCAATGGTTTGGTCAAGTAAAATCCAAAACGTAGTGTCTGGAGAATAATGATATGGGACTTGATAGTAGGGGGAAAACAAAAACAGGAAGACACAAAAACATTATCAAGAAACTGAAAAGACATGCAAAACAAAGCAAGGACAAAAGCATCTAGGAGCAAAAAGGCTAAGTACTCTGAGGTAGGGCTGGGCATTTTATCCGTTATATTTGATTCGATTCGTTATTCGTTTCGATTCGATCCGAAAATTCCGGATATCCGTAAACTTTCGAATCAAAGCAAATACTAAAATTCAATATCCGTTAAAATCGAAGCAAATCACAAATAGTAAAATTTTGGGAAGCGGATATCCGATTCGATCCGTAAATATATGTATATCTTGATTATATTTAACATTTTAAATGCATAAAATTATATAATTATTACTCTAGCATATGATTTTGAACAATTCTATTGAAATTATTACTTATATAAAAGTATTACATAAAAAGAAAGAAAGAAAATTATGACAATTATATTTTTTTCTTAAATTTTGTGTTATTATAATTGTAACTTAAGCTTAAAAAAAATTACAAAATATATAAATTCACTACTTCTTTTAAGTTTTATTTTATATATCATGCAAAAAAATATTTTTGCAAAGCAATTTTGTATCAAAATCTTAAGATTATTTGTATTAATCAAAATGGATGAGATATCCGTAAATATTCGTAAATATCCGCAAATATCTATTTATTTACCGGATATCCGTTTTTCCGGATATCCGTATTTTTTCGAAGCAAAGCAAATACCAAAATTAGATATCCGTAACATTCGAAGCAAATCACAAATACTTTAAAAAACCCGGATATCCGATCCGTGCCCACCCCTACTCTGAGGTCTATTTTGCAATAAATCACTTGGTTGACCTCAACAAAAAAAAGATAAATCAAAAAGAAACGAGATCAAAAAGGGTAATTCTAACAGGTGACTATAAAATTAGGAGAATTGTGCATCTTTTAACAACGTGAGATTTCACCTTCTTATTCAAATAATACTTAACATTACATATAATAAAATAAAACGATTGAACCTATCGTTAACCTATGGAGTGAAGAAATCGAATCCCTGAAACAATTATCATGATGTACTGGTCTCTATAAATACATATACTATAGTCTTGAGTGTGTTGAGAGAATTATAAAAATTCTAGTTCTTGATACTGTGCCGTCTAAGAGCATCTCCAACCCCACTCCAAAACCCACTCCAAACTCCATTTTGCAGTAAAATCATCTCCAACCCTACTCCAAAACTCACTCCAAAATGGAGTAACAAACATGATTACTCCAAATATGGAGTAAACCAACTCATTACTCCAAAATGGAGTTGAACTTTTTTATTTATCAAATAGTCCTCCACATTTATATATGTTTCATTTTTAATAAAATATTATTATAAATAAGTTTTATATATATTATAAAATTTACTGTTATATTTCTTAATTATATAAATAGCCTCATTTTTAATAAAATATTATTATAGATAAGTATATTAATATTATTTTACTATATATTAGAAAATTTACTGTTAATATTTCTTAATTATATAAATAGCCTCGTCTTTAATAAAAATATTATTATAAATAAGTATATTAATATTATTTTA